ATTGTACATTTTAGCTCATTCTAAGACCAGTATTATGCAAATGCTAAAGCATGAAAGAAAATGAAAAATTAAATAATAGCAAGTAAAATAACTGCAACAAAACCTTCTTGCTTATTAACATGTTTTGCACTTTAAATATCTTCCCTCCCTCCCTTTATTATTTTGCAAAAAGCATAAAACATATGAGCCATTATCACAAGCTCTGATTTGATTATTTAGTAGTTGAGAATTGAAACTGAACAACATGCTGCTAGTGTTGCTTTTAATCTTAGTTTCAGTTTGTGCGTGTGTATTATGTTAATCAGTTTGTAACTTGTTGTAGTGCGTTCTAATTATAGTTAGTTTTCTAATTAGTTATATGTTGTACTCAGTGTTTCCAGGTATAAATTACAACACCTGACTTAAAATCATAAAAATATTTATAGTATGTTAAGTGCCATTTCTTTATAGGTTTGTTTTCCAAGTTGAGTTGAGCCTTTTTTTTTAAGTGGCTGAAATTAGTGATTTTTTTAAAGTCATTGGAGAAAATTTAGCCAACCCTAATTAGGTTGATGTTTCATTTCTTGGTTTAATTGTTTGACTTCATAGGACTTGTTAACTGACTTTATTTTTAGTACTAAATCGTAATTATACTTTTAAAAAATGTATATAAATTAAGTAAAATATGTTAAAGAGTGGGATATTTAAAGTATCTTAGTTTGAATGAATTGTAGTTATTGTAATAACTGATGTGTAATGTGTGAAAAGTCACTCTGGGTATGGAATGTTTCTTGCTATTTGTCTTACATATGTCCAGCTCCTTGACTATAAAGGGACTTTACATATTTTTGTCTAAACAGTGTGCTTTGAATGTGTATTAAGTTTGTTATTATGCTTTTTATTAGTTCTATTACCAGGTTGTATATAAGGTACTGTTTAGATGAATGTTGTTTAAGTTCCATGCCATGTTAGCATGTTTATTAGCTGTAACAAACAAAAGTATCCATTTCCAATGATGGGAAAAGTTTAAGTTAAGCTATCAATTTAAATTATTACATGGGCTTTATAAAGCCAAAGCTCTGAGCTACGTATACCACCTTCCATGGAAAATAATTCTTGAGCATTTCAGTCATGCTAAGAACTGCCCAATAATAACATATGGTAAATCTACATTTTTATTCATTAAGCAAGCCCACATTAAGGTAGTTTGAGGCTCTGGTGCACTTATTTTTTTTGAGGCCACTTGAATGGAGTACAAGCAAATTTGAAGTTAATTGTAATTAATACATATTAAGTTAATTACAGAATATGAGCTAATTATTCGAAGTAAATTAGAATATGATTCCTCTAACTTTTAAGGATGATATATTAAAATTAAATGATTATAATAATAATTATTTACTTGTACAACGTGTCAAGTAAGAATGAATTAGGCACATAAAAAACACTATAGTTATTGTACAACATTATGGAAGCATGCCAAAGCATTGCCCTAAATTCGTTTTTCCTTGCTTTGGCAGAAGCAAAATCTCTAATTAAATCTTCATAATAAATTTGCTGAAGCAATGTCCTTTCTATCATGAGCAAGGAAAGGGCATTTAAGCATTTATTTAACATCAAAGCACGCAATTCATTTTTTACTCTAGCCATTTTAGAAAAAGCTCTCTGCACTGTAATTTGTGGCGGTTAGACACAAGTATATTTTTAATGCCACGTCAGCATTAGGAAAAACAGATTTGAATTTATTTTTTCTGATTGCTTTGATACATTATTGGATAGATGGTGTTTCACTGTCAAAAAATTTCACAAACTGTACCATTTCATCAGGAAAAGAGCTGTCAAAATCTGGAGAGTATATATGTCTCTCAATTTTTTAGCTGCAGCATAAATTTCAGTCTCATTTAAATTTTTGAAATTAGATAGAAACAGAACTTCATTTCAGTCACTTTATATGCAGCAAGCCAAATTTTCCAAACACATTTGTAACTTGTCAACTACTGGTATAAAATTTTTAATGTGAAACTTCTGAGTTCCAGATAAACTAATTTCACCTTCAGAAGTCTCATTCTTTGTCAGCTTTCTTTTTCTCTTTCTAGAAATCTCACTCCTAAACTGTTCTTCTACTATATTTAAAAGCTGATGAGCTTGAATTTCGATTCTGTCAAATTCTTCACATAGTGAATTTACATATTCCTTCAGTAAACTGATAAGCTTCACAGTAGTAGACAGATCAAGGCTCTTTTCTTGAAGCATAGCACTTGTAGCATCAAATCTTTGAAGAATTTTATACCAAGACACTGTCATAAAAGCAATATCTAACGTTCTCAGTTTATTCATCTAAGCAGTAGTTTCATTTCTTACTGTTTGCCTTGCATCAATATCCTTAGATAAATCTTCAAGGTTGGAATAAATTCCGTCATAGTTTTCATACAGAATTTTTGTTGAAACCAATCTAGCTGACCAACTTGTTCCACTGAGGTTCCTAAAATTAACAGGCCTCCCAGCTTTGCTTCTTAAGCCATCAGAAATGTTTTGCCAACACTTGGTTGAAGAAGTACAAAAATTTCACACAGTTTGAAGAAAACTAAAAAAGCTTTGGTGCATATTCCCAACTTTCCATTGCATTCATTCCTACTAGATTTAATGAAAGTGCTGCACAAGGGATGTAATCAATATATTGGTTTATGTTCTTGAGATGCGCTTGTAGGTCATTGTATTTATCGGACATACTTGCTGCATTATCATATGATTGTCCACATGCATTTTGAATGTTGATTCCTATCTTATTTAATTTTTCTATGACAACTTCAGCCATTCATTTCCTGTATGCCTACTTGAAGAATCATAACTGACAAAATTCTCCTGTGTAATACCTCCCTTGTACATGTATTACAATATTATAGCTAACTGATCTGAGTGTGAGACATTGGGTGAGGAATGTACAATAATTGAAAAGTATTTAGCATCATGAACTTCATCAGCAATTGTCTTATGAATTTTATTAGCCATCAAAATAATAATTTCTTCATAAACTGTGGAGGATAAATACAAGGTAACTCTCTGGCCTTAATATCCATGCATTTCAAGGTACTTGGCCAATTCTAATTCAGCCCAAACTTTGCCATTCTTGAAATGTTCAGGCTTCTCTCTATCCCCTCTAAGTGCTAATCCTCTTCCACACAAGAATTTTAGACATTCAACAACTCTATGCAATACCTCCTGCCAATATCAGTCAAATTAATCTAGTCTGTATTGTGTAAGAATAACACAAATAACAGATAAAATATGAAGATTTATCAAAAAAAGAAAGAGTTAAATTGACAGTCTGGATTGTCAGTGAGGAACCTTCATTGTTTGGTGCCCTGGCACAATTGTTCCACGATTAATGAGGCCCTGCATTAAGTTACGTCACATTTTGAAATTTGAATGACAGTGCAATTAATTCCTAACAATTTAGTGTAGAATATTCTGCTTGCGAAATAAAATTTGTCATCAACATTATTCATGCCTGTGTGCACAGCTTTTCAAATGCAGTGCAGGAAGCATCTGCCATAAACAGGAGACAGATGAATGGTCAGACAGACATTATGGTTCACAATATATATTTATCAGATTGACATGTTGTATGATGGAAATTCTAAGATTATTTACAAGTGATCTAAGTCTTTCACATGTTATCCAGTCCTCTCACCAGCCCTTATTGCCTTATAACCCCTATTTTGTGTAATCTCTCCATATATCCCCATAGTTAGGCCTAAAATAGCTCATTTTCTGTATAAATACATATAATTGACAGTCTTCTATATTCTTATCAAATATTTTTATTACTTACACATATGGCAATGCTGCTTATGACACTAAATTTCAGTTTCACACTATAAGTAATTATTACCCTTCATTACAAAACTTTTTTCTTTTTTTCTCGAGGCTTGTTATCTTTTTTATAATGTTAAGTGGTTTTAAGTTTACATTCTAGAGGTATAGGTATGAAATCAGAAAGTACTGGCAGAACATGAAAAAAATGGTTTGTCCAGGATAACAATTTAATCGAGGTCCAAATGACAGAAAAATCCAGTAAACCCTTGTTGTCTCAATTAATAAAAACCTGAGTGGAGGTTCAAAAAAAAGGGATTGTTTAAAGCTTGATTCATTGTCAATTACAAAACTACTTAAATTCATGGTTTTGATTTTAAATGCTTTTAAGCCTGAAACAATTTTGAAAAAATTTTTGAAGATTTTGATTATGAGTTTGAAGTGATGTATGTTTGAAACACCTGTATATCTTATCATTAGTCAAAAAGTTGACTCAAATAACAATACTTCAGGTTAACTCTGCACAGCATTATAAATTAATAAAAGTCTTTAATAATGATGTAAAAAGTGTTGACTATCCTGTTAAACAACTTAACTGTTTCTTAAATATTTTGAACTTGAGACAATTTTGTGTTCTTCAGTTCATCACTAGTTCATCATATTTGCATGTCCCTAACTTGTGTCCTTGCAAAGATATATTTCATTTGTAATGAGTAAGAACAGGCTATATCTGTTAACATTTATTAGGGTATCTTAATCTAGCTAGCCATTCTTAATGGCTAAAGGCCCTTTTCTTTTCAATTGAGACTAGTTTAATGTCATTGCACTAAATACATAAATGTCTTAAATTATCCTAATGTATCCTCTGTCAACGTTTTGCCAGCAGTACTCTTCTAATGTGGCTATGAGAATAGAAAGTTTTCATGAGAAGACATAGGGTATCTAAACATTATTAATTACAAGAACTTCTGTGTAAATGTAAGTTTTCTTATTTTGTGGTATTTTCGAAATAACATGCCCTTCACAAGTCCTTTTTTATAGACAATTTCTCATTATTTTTCACTAGACTTCCTTATAGTTACTTCAGTTTTATGCATAGAATCTAATGGAAGACCTGCTTATCATGCATGAGCTATTATATTCAGTTGTTTATCCAAATACATTTCAAATAAATGTTTAAATATAAATTTATTATATATGTTTTTTAGAACGTATAAAACAGAAAGAGAAGGAAGAAGAATTAGCTCTGAAGATATGTTGTAGCTCTCCAGGTAAGTACTTCTTGAATGTAGATAAGTTTTTCACTATTAATATGAGCAAACACGATTAGATGCTGTCTTCCTCCAAAATGTTTACAACATCATTCATGACAAATCACCAAAAATATTAGATTTATAATGTTTACTACCTTCAGGTTAAAACAAACTTAGTATATTGTATAGTTCAAAGTAAAAAATAAAAATTTCATCTTCATCAAGTCACAGGCTCAAAAGCTATAGAGAAGTCACCCTTTAACATATGACTGATCACTTGAATTTAAATCTCTTTTGCTCAAAACATTTTGTTTCCAAAACATACTTATCTCTGCTGACACTTATAGCTATTACTCGACCTCCAGGATTTCTTCCTTTGCCCAGCTGAGCATTGTTCTAATTTTTTCTTGTATGTTCCAGTCTTTTATACTGCACACAATTGCCCTTGGAGATATTTGTCAGGATACTCTCCACCTACGTCAGTGTACACTTTATCCTGGTACTGTAAGTAAGCAACTCATTCAGATAATTTTATAAATTTTTCTCGAGAAAGCGTTTAGACACGTTTTTTTTAAAGAAGTGTTGCAATCGTTAACATCCTTGGGTACAATTTTTGTATTGCCTAGTTGATTTATGTTCAATAATATTTTAACAAATCTTAAAAAGAAAATCCTCTTATTTCGATGTGCCATTTTCAGGCATGAATGTCTTGGGTTACTTTTTCCAGCACGGAAGCTAATCAGACCTCCCCTATTCCACTTTTGTTATCTAGCATCCCTCAGAAGTCGAGGTGGGATCACTCTCAGTTAAGGCTATTCCATGATCTGATTCTTTGTGAGATGGAGACATATATTTGGTCAGTGGTGTCTCTTCGGTGGGTTCTGAGGCTGCTTTTGCCAATAATCCAGGAGGGAATTTAGACTCACTTTGTCTGGTGCCTTCATTTACTAGATTGTCTTCTCACTAGGCCAATTTCAATCAGCTACCTCCTGCTTCCTTTCTTCAGTTAGTCAATTGGGTTTATGAGGTTCTGAGGCTTTACCTGGTTGCTTTTGAGTTTACTCCTTCCTTGATGATGGAAAGGTCTGACAGATTATACTTAGTTTTCCACCTCCACATGATATTACAGTTCATGTAGGGGGGTTTACTGCTCAGTTACATGAAGGGATAGCTATGCCTTGTCCTCCTCATTTGTCAGAACAGCATGCTTTGGCTTACCATTGCCAGGAGGAAATACTTAGATTCCCAAAGACTTGATCTACTTTTGAAAATATGGGGTTCTAAAATGGAGCCTGTGATCACTTTGAACAAATCACAATTTTCTAGGAATTGTCTGACCCTCAGTACAGTTCTGAGATATTTATCTTCCCTCCAAGTTTTGTTGGAAGCCTCTCAGCAATCCCCACATCAATATGCTGAGGAACGGGTCCTTTACTGACTTCTACTTTGGTAAGATTGTTAGTTTCTGCTCTTTCTTTGGTTTCCAGGCTTGTGTGTTGTTTGGACTTATTGGGTAGAGATGTCTTGTTGGAGGGAGTTCATCTATCTGCTGCTGCCCTCCAAGAGTTAAATGAAGCCTCTTTTCCTTGACTCTTGATGTTTGTGGGTATTCCAGAGGCATTGGAATCAGGAACTGATGTTGCCTGTTTGCATTCTTCCTTGTCGTCGTTGGCCTCTCATCTTTCTTTGGCTCCTACTGGAAGTTATGGCACTACTATTCATCATATGTTCCAATCCATGGCTTCAGCTACTTGACTTATTGGTACCTAGAATAGATTCCGTCTTTATCCAAGATGCTCCTCCTCTCGGGTAATCCATCGCCAGCAACATCAGTGGGTCAGTGCCGGTGGGTCTATGGGAGCATGGTTACAACATTTTCTAGACATCTGGAATTCCTTCACCATAGATCCATAGGTACTCCAGGTTCTGGCATTGGGGTCTGTCATTCATTCAGTTCACATCTCTACCTCCATTATCCTCCCAACCTGTAGTACTTCCACCCTAAACAGATCTGAAGAGTGTAGATCTTCATTTCAGGGCTATCAGAGAGTTGTTGGTCAAGGGGGTGGTAGAGCTAGTCAATCCCATTTTTCTGGTATTTTATTCACATTTATTTGTTGTGCCCAAGGAGACGGGAGATTGGTGTCCAGTCGTTTGTCTTTCTTGTCTCAACTAATTCTTAGATCCTTCCAGGTTTGAGATTGAGTCCTTTTTCAATCTACATTGGCATTTTTCTCCAGGTCTGTGGATGACCAAGTTTGGTGTTGCCAATGCCTTTCTCCACATTCCTATAGCGGAGTCATCCCGCCACTATTTTTGTTTCAAGTACTAGGGTCAGATTCAACAGTACCGGGCTCTGCCCTTTGTACTAGCATCTGCACCATATGTCTTCTGCATTGTTGTACAAGCTTTTTCTTGTCACCTTCATCCTTTGGGCCTGGGCAACACCATTATTCAGTTGGCAGAATGACATACCCAGATTCCCCTTTCAGAAGACACCAAGGCTGGCTTTCTTATCAGAGCCAAGAAATCCATTCTCATGCTGACTCAGTACATTGTCCCTCTGGGTGTCTTTCTTTCATGTATTTAAGTCAGGCTCTTACTCACATTTCCCTCTCCTACTGTATAGATGGTTCTCTCTTGTGGGGATGTGGGCATCCATTGACTCTCTAATTCCTTTGGAACAAGCACACATGCAATCCCTTCGGTAGTTGTTGCACGACCAATGGATCATGAACTACAACCAACTGGATTATCCAATCTCCTTACTCAGGAGCAACATCTTAGACTTCGAGTGGTGGTTGGATTGGAGCAACACTACAATAGGTGTTCCTGTACCACCCCGTCATCCCAAGATTGATCTCTTCACAGATGCCTTGCATCTGAGATGGGGTGCATGTATCAACAGTCAGGAATTACATGGTCTATGGACGGACAATGAATCTTCCTTCCACATTATTATTTTAAAACTTGCTGTTCAACAGGCAGTGAACTTGGTTCACCTATTGCACTGTTTCCAGATCACTGTTCCTTAGGACTCCCTAATGTGTGTTACCCCCCAGATTCTACTAGTGGAGCTAAGGAGTCTTTCCCACACCTGGATTCCAGTCACTGGGGTGGCAGACAGAGGCTTTTCCTCTAGAATGTTAGAGTGAATTGCTACACTCTTGGAACAGAGGGCAAAGTTGGGGCCCTCCTACCCAGGTCCCTGGATGTTTTTTTTCTAGATGTCAGTAGGAGCAGCACCAGCCTATGCAGGAGCCTACTCATAATACTGATTCAGATTAGATGCTTGGCTATCCAGTTAGGGTGTGCATGGCCTTTCTTTTTGAGTAATTCAGTACATTGTTCATGGACGGGGGTCCACTATCTCCTCGTAATTCAGAATGCAAAGTGGTCCCATTCTGGATCCTTGGTTGAGCACAGTTGTTCCACATCCTCCCCATAATTCCAGGAGCAAGTGGAATGCTCCTTGCCCACTCGGTTGGGGAGTGAGGATAAATGTTCATAATTCCAGACCAGATGAGTTCTGCTGTTCCTTTGGTTGAGTAAGGCATACATGATCCTGTCACTCCGTGTCTTGGGTGTTGCCTTTCGGGCATCTTCATATAGAGGAGAATTTTCGTCTGCTTCGGTGTTGCTTACTTTCTCGTTGTAATTATGGTGGTTCAGGATGTGCCACTCTATGGTTACAGGTTGGGATCCAATCAAAAGTATATACATAATGTTGTGGTCCAATTGCTCTAGCCACCAATGTGGAATATAGGGACCAAGTCTTCTTAATTCCAACCCCGAGTAATGGAACCTTGTCTATCTGGTTGAGGTTGGCCTATAGTGATAATCACTCATGTAAAATTCCACCCACAATACAGGAATGAAATTCAGGGTGACAAGCATACCTGTTCTGGATGTAGTGCAGTTCCCCTACTAGGGTGCTAATCTTCTATTGGCACACCCATGATCTGTGCAGATGCTTTCTGTACAGATGATGCCCTCACTGGTCCCTCCATCTCCTCAATGTGGGATTCTAGCTATAAATGCCAGCAGAGTTAACATTTTCTTAAATTGAAAATATATTTCCAATAATATTTACCTCTGCTGACACTCTCCTACCCTTCCTTCCCACTGAGAGCCGGTGTTAGAGACTGGGATGGAGTCAGTCTTAAAAAAGTGATAACATTTTCTGAATGAGGTACTTATATACAGTACCAGGATAGAGGACGCGTTGACTTAGGTGGAGAGTATCATGAGACAAATATCACCAAGGGCAATTGAGTGGAGTATAAAGAACTGGGGCAAGTGAGAAAAAATCAGACCAATGCTTAGATGAGCGAAGGAAAAACCCTGGAGGTTGAGTAATAGCTATAAGTGTCAGCTGAGGTAAGTATTATTGGAAATACATTTTCAATTTAGGAAAATGTTAACTTTAGAGACTTGCTGTAGATGTCATTTTATTAGAAATTACAGCAGGATTCCCATTGAAGTGCATTTGGGAAATAAACAAGTTATCCTGTAACAAATGTTTTGACAATTGGATAAAATCCCTAAAGTTAAAGATCTTACAACATTTCCATGGAATGATCATTATCTCTGCTTTTTATTTACCAAGTTAAAGTAAGATAATATTTTTAATTAAAAAAAAAATCAGTCTTAATCTACCCCTTTTATTCAAACAACTTGGCTACATTGGAGGAGAGTCAGGTTATTTCTTCTAGGTGAATCATAATATTTGTGTGATACTTGGGTAAGTGATGCCTTGAAGTTGTCTTTTATTACCAGCATTGGTCACATGAAGAATTCACGAGGCAATACTGCTCCCCTTCCGGTCAGTTGATAATAATTAACTTCACTCATAATGCTTCACCTGGGAAAAAAAACTGTGTAGAGTGTAGTGAAGAAAGTGCCATGGAAAAAGGAAATAAGTGAAGTAATACAGAATTTTGGAACATGACATCATTCACCTAACAATAATTCATTTTGTAGATGGATTGACCAAATTGGAAAAAGTTGCTGAAAAGAAAAGTATGGTGTAAACAGCAGGTAGTAATTTGAAGAGAAAACTGGAAACTGTTTGTGCTCCAAGCTTAGACTCCATTATAACATATTCTTTTGAGCAGAATATTAAAAACATGGAAAAGTCTGAGGAAGAGCTGAGAAAATTAAAGGAAATATTCCACTCCCATGAAGTAAAGTAGAAAATGCTTTCAGGATCTCATAACACTTAGGCTACCCTAGAAAGCACTTAAAGAAAAAGTTGAAGCTACAAAGTCTTATGAGTACAGTCAGTGACAACTTGGACAAAATAATTCAAGTGATAGGAATTGTGAAAGATAGGAGATAAGCAGAAGAGGTTTATTATTCTCAAGCTGAAAGGTATTATACATTTGCATCTTTGAAACCCTTCTGGCTAATTTGTGCAGCTCATAAAGATACACATGGTATATGTATTTATGTCTGTCACCAATATACAAAGTTGATGGTATCATCTTTTCCATTAAAATATTAAAATTAATTCAAATTAATAAGCAAAACTGTGTGATCAATATAACAGGAAAACCAATTTCCAATATCTCTGTAATGGTAAGATTTTAATCTCAGAGGATATGTTTTTATTCTACAAGATTACTTTCCAAAGTATAACTTTCATTTTTGTTACTGAATAATCATTAGAATTGCTGAATACTTAAAGCAAAGGTTCTAGTTAATATCAACTATTAAGGGTGTACTATGCCTGCATGGATTCATCTTCATTTCTGAGACCCTGCTTCAAGTTTGTTATTATTCTCCACCACTTGTGTGTGGTCTAGTTGTTATTGTGTCTGTCTGTAAATCCAATGGTTTGTAATTTGTGTCTCATTGCCACAAAAACTCACTCCATTCTTTGGGACTGTGGGTTTGTTATAAAGAGTGACATTCAACTATTACTTTACAATTACAATAGCTTAAGTTTTTGCATGAGTGCTGTTGACTAGCTGCCTTCCCTGTACTATTCTATAATATCAAAATTAAGAATGCCTAGTGTATCTTTACCCAAAACAAGCAAACCTTATCCATCAATGCATCAGAAGCTGTCAGAATCATCTGAGATTGTACATATAAACTCCAAATATGTGAAAAAACATTTGATTCCTATATGACAAGAAGGTTTTTTTTTGTATCTATAAATACATACTAGATTGGAATGAATGGAAACTCTTCTGAACAGTTTAAGAACTATTCATAAGATTCATGCAGCCAGGAGAAAAATCACATTGGGCTACTGGCCAAGAAAGAAGCCAGTGGCCAGAGAATGATGACAAATGCTGGATGCTATGTAGTGTTCAGTCTTGCTTGATCATCCACATGAAGCTACAAGTTTTCAAAAAGGAGTAAAACTGTGGAACTAGAAAAAGGAACATTGACTGGTGTAGTTTCACTTGGAAGAAAATTAACTGGTGCTACTGTGATATCTTTATTATGTTGTCTAATTCAAGTAAAACATTCAGGCTGTTTACAATGTATCACAGTTTTTAACTTAAACTTTATCACTAAGTCTTACCCTACAGTATTATATTCAGAAGCACAGTTGAAATCAAGAACAGGAGCCTTACATGACAGCACACTCCAGAAAGCCCTTAAAGATGACTTCTTGATCATCAAGCTCTCACCATAATACTCATCATCATGATGTCATCATCAAGTTCTTACTGGGGTACGTGTCATTATATAAATGCTATATCCAGCTTACAATCTTGAAAACAGCAGACGTGAGACAGTTTATGGAAGTTACCCAAAATGTTGTTGCTCACCAACTATTTCGACCAAAGGATTCAGTGCTTCTAAGGTTGATGGAATCCATAATAAGCCTTATCTCAACCAAAATGTTGTTATGGAACATCTTTGCTTTTTTTATGAAAACATTTCGTTTATAGTTTTTTCTTTGTTTTTCATACAATTTCAGTAGAATTACACTTATCAAAAGGTTTTATTGTAAATAGTCTTTGAACAAAAGGTTGATTAAGAGTTTGGAGGCTTTCTATAAACCATTTGTGAAACTTTTAACTCCATGACCTGATCAAGCTGAAAATCACGTATTTGGTATTTTCCTTGAATTAACATTACTTAATGAGTTTGGTGTAAATGAGCTATTGTGGTTTGTCACAGAATGATCCCACTATTAGCTATATCTTTATTTAGCCACTATGACAATTGCAGATGTGTGTTAAGTTTTGATGATATGTTACACAGCAAATATTATAATGTCTTGATTTTAAAAATCATAACCCCCACTGGCTCAGAAGTAAGCTAGATTGCTTATAATGCTGTAAATCAGAGTGGGCACAGTACAGATAATGAAATACGCAGTTTTGTGCTTATACACAAACAAAACAAATCAGCAAAGTTATGGGCAGTTTTTCAGCTATGTCAAAATCTTATACTCTAATATTAAATTTTCTATGCAAATTATAGAGGTTATCACATCTGTTGATTTTTATATGTATTTCTTTTTTTAATTTTGCTCAAAGATCTTTGAAAATAATGTTTGTTATTAAGCTATACCATTTTATGTTAGATAACACCATCTTTTTCAATGATAATATCTGGACTCAGTGTGACAAAGTGTCTACAAGATGCAAAAGGGGGGATCTCTTGTTTGATTATAATAATTTATCAATGCATGTTGTCTGCATTTGATTCACAGGTGTAGGCAGAGGATTACATTTATCCCAATGATGCTCAATGGAAGTGAGATCTGATGATTGTGTTTGCCATGGTCATGCTCTGCAAACTAATTTCGAACAATGATATAAGTATGATGAATTGTTATGTTATCCATCAAAGTTTGAATGCAGTATTCTGTGGTAGACATGACTGACAACAATGTTTAGGTGTATTTTAGATGTTATTTACCATATTATAGGAATTGACAAACCTGATATATTTCACTAGAATGGTCCACACACCATTACACCACCTCCAACACTATATACTGTCAGAACAGCACAAGTTAGGTCAAGTGGTTCATAATGTTTTACTTATTTATTTCAGTACAAAATGCAGAAAAAAATGATTCATTAAATATCACTAAACATTTTCATTTATTTATTGTTCTCTGTGCACCCTATTGGTGTTTGAAATAAGTGATTTTTGGGCATTGGCTGCCAGAAGAGAATTTTCTCACTGCTGTTTGTATGGATATTCACAGATCCTGACCTCTGTTGAAGGAATTGGTTATCTGAGAAACCATATAGTTTATCATCTGTCTTACTAATACAAACCCATATAATCATCTTTGTCTGCCACCAGTGGTTGGCAGCCACAGATTTTCTTACTGGTGAATGTATTCCCTCTCATTTGCCACTGTTCATAGACTTTGATGACATATATGTCTTAGAGTAAGTAAACAAAGAAATGGTCTTTGATAACTCTCCTCCTGCTTGAACATGCACAAACTATCATGCCCCTTTGAAAATAAAAATAAAGCCTTGCTCTTACCCATTTCTTGCATGCTATATTTATGCATTCTATAGACTCAAGCAGTCACCTGAAAAATTACATGATTAGTATTTTGCATGTGCAAATTATTGAAATGTTATCCAATTGTGTGCACAGGGAGGCTAGTGAAATAGCTAGTTTATGAATTTTTTGTTGGAAAACATTAATTATTTTCAATTGTTTGTTTTATTATATTATGTATTAAATTAAATACAATATTTACTTTCTGGCCATTGAATGCTATTTATAAGATTTAAAGGATTGTTTATCATTCTTTGTTACATCTGTGAATTGTTTTCATAGGGAAACAAAAGTACTTCAAATCAAGACATGAAAAAGTGCATTTTAGAAAGCTCTGTTTTTCATTTAATGTTTCAATTACATAGTTGCATGACATCATAAGGGAACATACTTATTTTCCATAGAAATCTAGTGTAATTTGTATGTAATGAAGATTGTCAGAAAATCAGATGTTTTCTTCTTGCAGAGTCTTCATGTATTTTTACAACATCAGATGTTAATATACCTGTAGTATCAAGTGTATCACCCACTCCAGGATCATCAGTTATGATCATTCCTTCTCAGTCAAGTGTTCAGCCATATAATCCAGAAAAAACTAAATCATCAGGTACTCACCACTTAGCTAGCCTAATTTGTCAAGTTGTAGTTCTGTTCATTTATTACTGAATAATTACATGGCAGTCTAATTAGACTGAACTAAATTATGTAGACCAGTTTCCCTTTAGATGGGTATTTATTGCCTTAAGTGTTTTTGTTTTCTTTTAACACTCGATGAAGCATAAAAGACAATCATCTGTTAGTTTAAAGGTTTATGAACAATGCCTGAAGAACTTAGGCAGCACATTCAAAACATAATAATTAAATCCAGCTAAACTAAAGACTTGCTGAAGGTTCACCCAAATATGTCAAAACAAAGTTGTCTATAAAACATTCCTCTGACTGTATTTATTTTCTTAACTTTACATATTTTAAGGCATCTTTCATTTTGTTTTCTTGTATATAATTTATAAAAATTGAACAGAAATTTGTTATGAGGTGGCTTAAAAAAAACCATGTTGAATTCAACCTGAGTCTTAGAATAAAAATAAAAACTAAGTGAATTTTAAAAATAATTTTCATTAACTTACTTAAGCTAGAGATGGTAATGATTCTACATTGGTGTATGCGTTTTGTCCACTTTTTGGTGAGCCCACTACTTGTAGATAACATTTGATATGAGCTTTTATCTGATCTAACATAGATCTACCTCGTATAGATATCATTTTAATGGTGAGTTTTTGTCTGATTTGACATAAATCTGCCTCTTGTAGATAATATTTGAAGTGAGTATTTGTCTGATTTAATGTAGATCTCCCTTTGGTGGATAACATTTTGATGTGAATTTTTGAGTGACTTTACCCTGTCACTGCTGAATTTTCTTATGGACAGTTCTCTACGGTGCCAGAATTTTTGGTGAAAAATGCCTATTTTGAAACGAGTTATTTTAAACTCCCTAAATCACCCTAAAATGCACATATATATGCACTGCAAATGTTAGAAAAGAATATTAAAACAATAAACACAACATTTTAGAGTAAAAATAATGTAGTTTTACTACCTTTTTACTTGTAATGTCTGAAATGCTTAACTGTGTGGTACTTCATGAAGCAGTCTGGAAGACACATGGGCAGGCATTGCCCCCTCCCATCCTTACAATTCATGTATCCATGTCTGTTTTGTTTCCTCTTTAGATGTGAAGGGCTTTCACAGCACACTACACAGTTAGGCTTGTATTTAGGATATAGATAAGTCATTGGAAAGTGATGCCCTGTCAGTCACTCCTCCCTATCCTCTAGGTTATCCGTCGACCTCTTCCCTTTCTTTCCAAATTTATTCGGAGGAATAGAAGCACGGAGTTTGGTTGCCACCTTTTCCCTGAATGAATGTGGCTCCAATTTTGAACTAGGGTTGGCAATTGTGTACAGTATGTAGGAGTTGACAAGTGCTGCCTCTCTGATGAAGTGATAAATTGCGTGGTACCACTTTTTGTGTCTATATGGGTAGCTGGTACATTTCTAGTCAAACAAGTCAACTCCTCCCATTGAAACATTGTAATTGCAGGCTACATTTTGTTTTTTCACATCCCTAAATCCAGTCTTTGACTGCTTAGATCGAATTTCTTTCTGAGTGTAGCCATTATTATTGATTATCGAGAGGAAGTTGACCCTTGCAATGTCATGCCAGGAGCAGACAAGCATATCATCCTTTCTGTAATAAACAGGATCATCACCTTTCTTCATCTGTAACCTTGCTGGTTTAGTTTCTTTTGGAAGTCCCCTTCTATTCAATCTCACAGTTCCACAGGCACCAGTACCCTGTTCCTTGAGGGCTTCATAAAGGCCAGGGCTGGAATAGAAGTTATCAACGTATAAACGGTGGACGAGATTCAAGTATCCATTATTGCCCATCAGTTTCATAACAACATTATGACCCAAGCCTTACTCTGGTGCCACAGGGTTGTTGTCTCTACCAGTATAAACATCCCAGTCTAACAGATAACCCAACTTGCTCTCACACAATGACCACAGTTTTATACCCCACCTTGTGGGTTTGTTTGGTATTTATTGAGGAAAGTATATCCTTATCTTGAATTTCCTCATCAATTCATCAGTTGTAAGTTCACGATGTGGAATGTAATACTGCTTATACAGTGGCTTCACAATGTTCATTAGGGGAGCAATTTTATACAAAGGATCATATCCTTCCTCTCCATATGGAACCCTTTGAGAATTTTCACAAAAATGGAGGAATGAATTGATCAACTGGTAACGATTGCATGGGGACTGGGCTATACCCCCAGTTGCCCAGTATTCACTAATCCTTGGCTTGGAACACAATCCCATCATTATCTGCAAGCCAACATAGGCTTTGATTTCACCTGTAGTACACTCAACCCAATCATTGTAGCAAGAATTTTCAGGGAGGTCTGCCACATTATCAAAGAACTCTAGGACACAGGTGTTAGTCATTTCACAAATGAGCTCAAATGCTTCCTGAGGGAATAACAAGTAAAAATAATCTACAGGGTGGTTACCGTCTGACAAAGGTGGAATCACAGGACCAGCATAAGCTGGGCACCAAATTGGGATATAATTGTCATAATTATCATTAATGACCCACTCATGATCAGTATCAGCCACGCCGTCTTGGCTACTATAATCATCATCACTGTCCCCATGCGCTACATCATGTGTATTATCATTACTTACAGCATTATCGGTATCCGTGTCACTGTTTCCCAAATCGTCATCTCCAAATTCACTCAATTCTGAGTCTGAATCTCGCATTATTTCACTCAATACATCCTTCGTAGCAAGCCATTGTTTTTGTGTACATTTATCTGCTGACATGATTCCAGTCAGTGCCCTCAAATTAGGTCAAAAGTAAAGAATTTCACAAAAATAACACCCATGATCGAGGAAACTACACTAAATTACATTGTGGTTGCCTAGAAACCATGCAGGTGCAGCACAGAGTAAATTACAGACCAGTAAATAGAACTATCTCAGTAATTCGACTTAAGTTGCATTTGGCACTCTACCTGGAATTCGACTAAAGTCGCATTCGGCACTCTACCTGGAATTCAGTGAAAGGGTTAATATTGATTTGCCTTTTGTAGATAACATTTTAATGTGAGTTTTTGTCTGATTTAATGTTAATCTACATCTTGTAGATAACATTTTAATGTGAGTTTTTGTCTAATTTAACATTAATCTAACCTTATGTAGATCTACCGCTTCTAGATAACATTTTAATTGGAGTTTTTGTCTGATTTAACATTGATCTGCCTCTTGTAGATAATATTTTTTGGGAGTTTTTGTCTAACCTGATGTAGAACTACCACTTCTAGATAACATTGTATGGGAGTTTTTGTCTCATTTACCATTGATCTGCCTCTTGTAAATGATATTTTATGGGAGTTTTTGTCTGATTTAACATTGATCGGCTTCTTGTAGATAATATTTTAATGGGAGTTTTGTCTAATTTAACATTGATCTGCCTCTTGTAGATAACATTTTAATGTGAGTTTTTGTCTGATTTAATGTTGATCTGCTTCTTGTATGTAACATTTTAATGGGAGTTTATGCCTAATTTATTGTTTTCTGTCTGTTATGGATAATGTTTTAATGCAAGCTTTTGTCTAATCTGGTATAGATCTATCACTTATAGATAAAATTTTAATGTTTTTGTCAAATAGGATACAGATCTGACACTTGAAGGTAATATTTTAATGTGAGCTTTTGCGCACTTGAACATAAACATGCTGTTTGCAGGTAACAATCAAATTAGGTATATCTAAAACATTAAAAGTCTTTTCTTGTTGAGCTTGCTCTCGTACTGTCAACAGTTATGTGACTTGACAAAATGCAGCGTGTTCATCCAATTTGTTCCAATTGACAAATGGAAATATGTACATACCTTTCAACTCGTCATAGAAATCCACTATATGTATAGTTTCAAGTCTTTATCTTTTCACTTATAATTTCTTTTTAATTTCCCTTTCAAATTCTCTGTCTATCCTGATTTATGCCCATATATTAACTGATGATTGGGGGGCTTTACAAAGGTATTTTGGCAGACTACCATTTTGTTTATAACCTTTCAAAATTCAGGCAACTAGTTAAACTTATAAAAATTATTAAACCATTTAAATGTGATTTTTAAAACAAACATGATATATAATTATTTAAAATAAAATTAAGACTGTCTCTCTAAATTTGGCATATTTAGGTAAGAAACCACCATACTCGCTATAGTTGATCAAGCAGACAATACTATGAACAAAAATTCCACGTACACTGTAAGGAAAATTGTGAACCAATTTCAAATTAAGCATTGTTAGAGTATAGTGTAAACTGAGCTCTTTCTAACAACTATATACACTTGTATTAACTAACTACATGTATGTTGTAGATCTCAAGGCAAAGTATAGAAGGTGGGAGTGGCAAATGTCAAGGGTTAGTAAGTTTCTGTATGTTTCCCAGACAACCCAGCTTAAAGACTTTAGATCTCACGTGAAAATTATATCAATCATATGCACTTATTGCGTAGAAACTCCTGTATATGCCAGCTTGTGTGTCTAAGAGAGAAATGGTGCTAAAGTCGAGATTTTTCAAAGTGTGTGGATCACGTGACATGAAAAACTACAGTATCAGTATTTTTTTGAAAGGTTTCCTTTGAAACAAATTACTTCAAAATTACATAATATAAAAATTCAAATCATAACGTATATTATAATATTAATTTCATTTTCATATATTGATAGTAAAGTGGTTTAATTAAATTTTGAATGTAACACTACCATATGCAGAAAAAAATTTAAAAATGGTGCCAAGGACCATAGGGTTAAAGAACATACATAAGCTTTATTTTCCCACCATAATCTAGATTTTCTTGTTGATAGTCATGCTGTTTACATGGCTCACTATGAATTCTGAAGTCACTTTCAGTACTGCTGGTGAGATGAATGCTTTTCTTCCCGAGTGTTCTTTTTTGGTCCAGTATCTTATCAGGCTGATCCACTCACTTAGTTCTCCAATGATTTCAGTCCATTGGCTTTTATACTCTAGCTATAAATTATGCTCAGACTCTGCTTGATCACATTTTTTACTTGTCATGGTCTAGCTTGTCACCTTCTGAAGAACCCAGTTTTTGGTTCCCTCCTCTATCGTATTATGAATATTCTGGCTTTTACTATTTGAAAGGTGAACCTACCTGAATTGAATTTTATATTTTTGGAATTATAATGAATTAAAACAGATACATACTTCTGATATACATTTCCATCCATCTCCCCACAACCGGGAGATTGTGTGAAATCTGAATTATGACAAGAAAATTAGCTTATGTGCATACTCCTGATGTATACACAGTAAATCATTTGGGAGAGTGGAAAACTCTGGGAAAGATGACATATCATATGCATTCTGACAAGGGCATTCAAAACCTAAAGTCACATGACTGATGAAAACAGGAGAGCAAACTCAACAAAGAAATTCTTCTAGTATTTCAGTTGTATTAAAATACATGTTTGAAATTCATTTTAGTTCTAAATATGTAAAATTGTATTCTAGTTTTGTCTGATATGAGATAAATCTGTAGCTTGTAGATGATTTTTTAATATGCGTTTTTTACAGAAACACCCAAAAGAAGTCGATGTGAAACCAAAAATCAAACTTCTTCTGATGAGGATGATTTTCAACTGCCCAAAAGGTTTCGTATTCCCATCAGTGCCAAATCACCTGTAAGTTACAAGCTGTGTTATTTTATTGAACCTTTAGTGCCTTCTTTGTTCTGGCACATGAAATTTACATATAAATGAGGAAAAACAAAATTTAGAAGAGATTTATAATACAGTTTTTATTACATTGCTGTAAGTATAAATAGCAATATATTTTGTTAACAGAGTTACTTCTGCTAAACAGTGTTGAATGAGTGATAAAAATTCTTACATACAAGGCAAGTTTAAGTTATTATCTATTTCAGTACTAGCTGGAGTACCCATCCTTTGGATAAGAGTTATGTAAATTCATGTTTAATGAAAGGTTATCTTATGACATGAAAAGTTGCTTCCCTATATGTAATTGTAAAAAATGCAAAAACACCCATAAAAACTGCAAAACATAAAATGTGAAACTGCAAGTTTCCAAGTATCTCCACGTGGACCTAATGAACCTCCATACCAATTTTGATGAAGATCCATCCACACGCTGCAAAGTAGTTACATGGACACACAACAGACAGCACTATTATATTTATATAGACACATAGTACTTTAATCTCCATACTAGCTGGAATACCCATCCCATGGATGTTATGTAAATTCATGATTAATGAAAGTTTATTTTAGGACACAAAAAGTTGCTTCCCTTATATGTAATTGTAAAAAAATGCCCATAAAAACTGCAAAACACAAAATGTGAAACTGCAAATTTGCATGTACCCTTGCATGGACACAACAAACCTTCATAACAAATTTGGTGAAGATCCATTTACAGGGGATGAAGTAGTGGAACAAAACAAAAAAACTCCCATAAAAAACCACAAAATGCAAAACTAAAAATGTGTATGTACCCTCGCATGGACCTAATGAACCTCCATACAAATTTTGGTGAAGCTTAACCACCTTCATGCAAAGTAGTTATATGGACAGACAACAGGCAGTACCATTATATTTATATAGATTCCTTAAATGTTCAACTTATTTTGTAATATTTTTTAATCTACCCAAGTTTTACTTGTTTCTGTGTTTCTGATCACCAAGTAGCTGTTGAATGTGATGACATCACGAGGAGAAACAAAGCAGTTCCTTGTGCAGAATCCTTCAAGTATTTCACCCCAACTGTCTAGTGTAGGAGTGTCCAGCTGTCATATCATTTCTCCAACCTCTAGCTTGATCCTGCCAGCTGCAAGTAGTTCAGCATCAAACTCTCAAAGATCACCCTTAACTGTCAGCTCATCACATTCTCCAGCAAGTAATAATACAGCTTCTTCAGTTATTGCAAATGGTCAGCCAGTAACTTCGTCTCCATCCGTACATCCAACAGTGTCTGGACAAGTGACTACAGCTAATACTGAAGTACTTCCTAAAGTTAAAAGAAGGTGTTTGTAATTTTTGATTGGTTTATTAGTATTTTTCATCAGTGTTTGTGGGTATTCATGTAGTATTAAACATCACATTCCAAATAACACTATAGTTTCATTAACCAGCATCAATGGGTCAAAGCACTTGGTTATTTGTAGGAACTATATTCCACATTATACTTATAATAAAGAAATCAATATCAATATTGCAATTAATACCACTAATCATTGCTGTGGTCCCATTATTTCACAGTTGTTTTTTATCAGTTCTTTACAGTGAGTGTTGTAACAAGCCAAATCATAAACTTACTCGTTAAGATGCAGTATATGGGTTTTTCTGATAGGTGAATGGTATAAAATCAAGTGAGTGATTTGGGAGTTAAAAATTTTATTTGTACAGATATCTTTTTTTTCTGCAAGAAGAAAAATCTGTTCTATTTTATTTTATAAAAATAAATTGAGGTAACAATTTTCTTAATGTCAGTTCTTATTATACAGACAGTTTAACCTGATATTATCAATTAAACTAAGTAGATGGAGATGAAAATTACAGTATTACATGCAGTATAAAATTATGTAGAGGTTCCATAAATGTAACCAAGGAATTTGAAGGTTGTACTTTTAAAATTTCTATGGAATTAGGTTGTTTGAGGAAATGTATTAAAAAATATGAGGACTTTATGTTCTGTATAAAGTGGGTAACTTGTGTTACTGGTAAAATTAGTTCTAATAAATTATACAAGATTAAAATAGCTACTCGTACTAGGTCTTTTAGATGGTTTGTACGGGGTGTGGAAATTCTGGAAAGAAATAAGATAAAGGTATCTAGGCCTGGAGTAGCTATGGAATTCTGTCAAAAAAAAAAGCTTGCCAGAAATAGATAGAAGGGAATAGAGAGATAGGAGTTAGAAACAGATACATTTTATTGATCAGAACATAACACATCTGCATGTGATAATCGAGGAAACACAAATAGTAACTGAACAAAGCCATATAGCTACACCTGATAGCAAGCAATATCTAAAAGCACTGTTAATCCTGTATTTATTCATTTATTTATATTTTAATTTATGTTTGATTCCCTTTAGTTTTTTTTAGCCTGTAGATATGTGTCCACATACTTCTTTTGTAACAAAAACTTGACTGAAATGGACACAGGACTTGTTACTGAGACAACCAACAGTTGTCATTTATGAAAAGTTTTCTTCCACTAAACTCATCTGATCAACCTTATTGGCACTGGTTGTACTGATGTGATCTGCAAAGTGATAGTAGTGTTAGTTTGTCCTGGTTTGACAATCCAACTTATTTAAAACATAACTGCAAACCATAACTGTATCAAACATTTGAGGTCTATTTCAAGAATGACATGTAATGGAGAAAATATCAGTAGAACATGATACTCATAGAAAAGCATCTTACCTTGCCTTTTGTTACTACATCATGTTTATTTGTGCCATCCACATAACAATGTCACCCCCGTTACTAAAATTGTAATGGGCACACAGTAATTGAACTATTCTATCTGGGTAAATGGATTTTGGCTTTTATGACTTCTCCTATTTCAAGTAATCAAGTGTGATGTGATGTGACAAACACTGGCTTTTATATAGGTTGGATTTTTTTGCACCTACTCCAAACCTCTTCCAAGCTACAAAAAAGTGAAACAGCTGCAGCTGTCAAGTTTCATGTAACATGTTAAATATTTTTAACACATTTTATTTAGCAAATGTTGTCTTAAATATATAATGCAAAGATCAGTTTTCTTAATTATTTGAAAATTCTAAGCCTGTTTACTTTTTTGTACATTTCACTACATTTTAGTTTTCATGTTTGCAAATATCTTTCAATAGTTTTTAGAATGAGATGAGGCTCACACACCAGTAAAGTAAAATTCTCATTCTAAAGTGCAACTATGGTGAGGTGTGATTTAGTTTATATATCTATTTCAGTATATATAAAATAGTCAGCTGTGATGTGAAAATAATGCATTTTATTTGTAATCATATTCATCATATTTGATTTCAGTCTTCCTAAGATATTTTTTGGTACTCGTACACACAAGCAGATTACTCAGATTGTGAGAGAATTGAAGAAAACAGCATATGGCAACTGCAAGTAAGTTTTTTCTGCAATTATTTAAGTGGTGGTGTTCATAAAAAAGATTAATAAAACTTTTCACCCTAGTGGCACAGTGGTAAGTCTGTGGAGTTATAATGCTAGAAACTAGGTTTTGATACTCATGGTGGGCACAGCACAGATAGCTCATTCTGTAGTTTTTTGCTTAACTACAAACAAACAAATAATAAACATTTTCTAGCTCTTGGTAATATTATTTTTGAACTTATAATTTACTGAAACAGTGATTTGCTTTCTGAGTATGCTGAAATAAAGTATTATATTTATCTTTTGATCTTAATGATCTAGAAATACAATGCTTTGCATTTTCCAATACAATATCATTCTTTTTCAAAGTACAGTTGCTAATAATAACGATAATTAAACAAATAAAACACTAAACAGTAATCATGGGGAGAAACTACAGCAAGAAAACCCAACAGGGAAAAAAAAAGGTAAAATCAGTATTACAAACACATTATACATTTTTTAATATGTTCATATTACTGATTTTACTTTTTTTTTTTCCCCCGTTGGGTTTTCTTGCTGTAGTTTCTCCCCATGATTACTGTTTAGTGTTTTATTTGTTTAATTATCGTTATATTTAGCAACTGTACTTTGAAAATGTATAAAAACTGATGTAAATATCATACTTCCATTCACATAATAGCTGTTT